CCACCACCACCACCGTCCCTTTTACCAATTCAAGAAAATCTGTCACGTAAGCTGCTCTTTTGGTCTTAAAAATACATGAAAACATTCAACATATTACTGAAATTTGCATTCGAGTCTAGATTTAGGTATGCCTATTCTTTTGGTAAACTTATTGACATTTCCAATAATATTTTTATCCTTAGAAATGTATGATCACGCTACCAAATCCCACAGTCGTCTCTTATGACATACAATCAAAGATTTGCACGAATTCTTCATTTGAGACAAAGTATTCAATTTTCGTACAGGTGGTGGTTGGGACATTCCAAGTTTGATGGCGGTATCGAATTCGTTAGGACAGAATTCTCCAAGCGAAAGATTACCTCAGCTGTCCTTCCCCTTCGGACAGTTTGACACCATGCCTCAGCAAACCCCACCGCCACTCCCATTAGGCTCAAAAACTTTCTTCGGCCTCAACTTCGATCTGCCTCCATTGTCATTGCTCGATCAAAATGGCGAAGCGGGTCCTCGCCACCTCTCAACCTCGGAACCGGAGTTCAAACGCGCACGTATTGATCATCCACTTGGTGAGAGCATCTATATTTAGTTGTTTGCTACCATTATGGCTTCTCAAAAGACCCTCCATTCTTAGCAAAGTACTGAAGGAGTTTCATTTCACCCAGCGATTACGTACCAACCTTCGAAGAGATCCAATTTATTTTTTCAACAAAAAGTATAATGCAAAAGTGAAACCGTGTTGAGAGTTTGGATTAAAGTGGTTCCAACGGACATCGCTGGAAAGCCACTCGTTGAATGGGGATAGGGTTGTGCGCGTCCGTGGGAAGGAGTTTTGATTGGCTCTGAAATGTATAGCATTCCATATCCTTTCATTCATCATCCACCATACAGCGATAACTTCTTGGGGGGTTGGACCCAACGCACAACTGTAAATCAACGCACACACACACACACAATGCGCGCACACATTAAAGGTATGGGATGGGAGTAAAAGAGGGCTAGGCACTGGAATTATAGTCCTATTAGTTAGCCGCCAATACCTCGTATTCCTTCTACCCTCAATCACAAGCATACGCAATGGAGCGCGCACGCTTCCACTTTCTCACAATTGCAGAGCACCCCACCCCACTCCTCGCCAGAGTCAAATAAATTTGCTTCGTTGAGCCCACTTCTGCCGCGCTGTTTCCCAGTTGATGACGTGAATTCACTACCAATAGACTTAATGGCGGCTCTAAAAACATAATCACTCAATTCTGATTCCTTCGAAAATTTTTTTGCCAATTCCAGCGTCAGACTGTAGTATGGTAGAAAAGTCATGAACCGCATGTCATGAACCGCAGGCACATTAAAATCCATTGGGATGATATTCTAGGATAACTCCGCATTTGGTTGGAAGTAAGTAAGGCACACAAAATCCAGTTAGCAAATCATCTACTGTTCATTGAGGAGACATTGGAAAATTAATTGAATAAAGTAGCGTTTCATGCTGATCATCGATGTGTGCAATCAGTTTATTAACCAGAGCGAAAAAGCGATGTCGTTAAGGTAAAATAAAAATAAGGAAACTCATCATTTTCTGCTGCAGGCGGAAATTTTATTTCACGCTAACTGTGGCCTACCAAACAACCTTCGCCTGTGATTGGCACACATGTGTGATAATCCTACAACTTTCACTCTCTGGTTTGGCAAGGTAGCGATTTGATCCACTTTATCGTCTCGAATTAGGGCATCCATCCCAAGGATAAAACCTCTACAGCGTGTGTGTGTGTGTGTTATGCTTGTGCTTTGCTGCATCAGGAAACACATACCCACTAACACACGCACACACGAGAGCCCCACCGCAGCTAAGCACACCTACACCTAGAAGAACAAACACAAATTTGGGCATTTCTGACTTTACTTGTCAGATCCACAAAAGTGGTGTGGTGGCTTGAGGTCGTCTCCTTTTCAGGCTGTTTGCTGTTAATGCACTTTCCTCTTCTCAGTCATAGCCGTTAGGGCGTGGGTCATATGAGTATTCACATTCAAGGACATTATTTGGTGTTGACAATCTCAGTACGAAGTGACCCATAAGGCAACGCGATAAAAATATGGAACGGGGTAGTGGGTATGACGTTGCTCGTGTTTTCCCTATAAAAAATAAGTACGACTTACAAGCAAAACAAGAGCACAAAGGCTGCGACTAGAAGCAAATATGAACATCACCGACCGCTATTATGGCTCAGCAGTGAGTCAGCAAAATTGCTTACTAAATTCAATATCTTTGAGCAAAGTGCCTTTGCGCAGACAACACATGTTCAGGAGTTTATGACAACTTCAGCAGCTCATGCTCAGAAGGCAGCAATACAGGATGCTGATACCGGTACTTAGTTGAAAGGGTAGAGGGTATAGATTTTTTACTATTTTTTGATCAGCCTAGAATGTGTTGGAAAACTAGAAAGAGGGCAAGGAAAGTGGAGAGACTACAGCGTGAGGCACCTATTCACGCTGTTCCCTACCATCGCACCCCCTCGTGCTTGGAAAATAAATGGCGAATGCGGTTGTGGGAGAGATAACAGCCTTTGGTGTGTGTGAAGGGGATGATATCTGAAATGCCAACACGGCCACCCAGGTTTGGGTGTTGCTTTGTGCAAGGCAGGCTAGAATACAAATGCCATGGTTGGCTTAATCGCTTGATGAGTAAGGAGACAGTTGGGGAGCCGAAGGAATGCTGCTGTTGCTGTTGTTGTTACCATTGTTGTTCTAGCAGTCTTCGTGGCAGGTAGCGAGTCTTGACAAACTAGCAATATAGGAAGAATATCTTCGCAAGCATCTTAGCATTTCCACAACACCTATTGCTTTTATTATCAGGTTTCATAGGGAACTTCACTAATCGAATGAGTAACTCCAAACTTAAACAGGTATAAGTATTTGCCTAATTGCCTTGAAGTTCTATTCCTATTGCATGGACCGTCTTCACTGGTACTGAATATATTGGGTCGTCAGTAGCAGACAAAGCGAGTAACAGGTTAAAGCCGGTGAAGTACACTGGATGATAAGTGCCTGAACTGGTGAAATGAATTTGCTAACAACTCCCTTCCGTCAAATACACATGGCTGCAAGTGGCAGTTTCATGTGCCTTCTCCCAAGCAGCATGTGGCTGCATTTTAGCTTCACGTACCCCAGTTACCACTCCGATGTTTATCCAATCTCACCAGCCCAGTTCCCACCTTTCGCTGAGGTGGGCTTAGTTTCCGAGTGTGTTGTGTAAGCAGAGCGGAAAGCTTGGAGCCTGTCAAAAGAAAACACTCCGATACACGCACTCAGAGGTTTTGCTTAAAGATTCCCATCCTCAGAACCGATTATTCCTTCTCACAAATTTTCTAGCTTGTTTTAAAACATCTTTATTGGGCAGGAGATTCACATTGCAAACGACTGCACTGAATCTTTAAACAATGCCCAAGAATCTTCAAAGGTCTTTAGTGTACGAGCCCACATTATCTGCATTGATAGACACTGGGCACAGCATAAGACTAAACTTTGTCTGCGGAAAAGCTCCTTCTGAGGGTAGAATTAGCGCTGAAATTCCCTCTGCGGCGTTGAAATAGGTTAGTATTCGCCATGTCAATGGATCTGGGGAATGTGTAGGTTACTGCATCAACTAAAAAGGACTTCTTTTTGTACTTTACCTCTTCAATAAACTACCCATTCGCAGTCGGAGCGTTAAATTGATCCCCATGATAATGACCACCTGGTGATTTCTCTAGCTCAAAGGTCCGCATCACCATCTTTAATGGTCGGTGTGATTTAAGCCTCTCGGGTAAACCTAATTACATTCCCGGTGTCAGTTTCACCAATAGTCCATTACTGGAGTCCAACAGCAGTGTTTAGTAGCACCTCTATTTGACAGTCACATTTGATTTCCTTTGTTACAATGGACTGTGGAATATTGGTGTGACAAATCCACAGCCATTTTTGTATGTGTGCGCATGTGTAACCGTTGCAATTTTTACTTAACATTGTCGGTTGAACAGAAATAAGTCGGCTGCTTGCCACTCTAACGGTGAATGGAGGGAGGCCGGAGAAAAGAAATTAAATCTGAGTTCATCTGGTCGAACTTCTTCCGTGGCCCACCCAACCCTTGGTATTGGCGCCATTGGGCAGAGTTGATAGAAGACAAAATAGCATTAAAGAAGCATATTAGACTTGAATGTGAAAAATTAAGGGAAGGAAACAGCTCTGGCCCACACGCGTTAGTTTCCAGGTGGGTGGTGAGCTTAAAGCAAACCACTAAAATTAATTTGATCTAGCGCATCATTGAACAGATCATGGTAATGGAGAGAAAATAAAAAAGTACAGGTGAATTTCGGAATCGTTAGTGGTAAAACGACACCACTGATTGATATGCTCAACTGTTTAACCGAAAGTAACCGAAACTTCAACCAATCTACTGAATGAGATTCCTTCATGGTCCGATTGTGACAGAACGAATCGCCCTTTGATGTGCAGCATGAGGCATAGACATTAGAAGAGAGCGGATGGATGAGAATGCCTCACTCAAGTCCAATTTGTGGGAGCCAGTGATTTTACAGTAGCACAGGTTTCAAGTGTAATGACCTAGATTTTTTCTCCAATAACAGAGAGACCTGCGCAAGGTGGTGGTGAGAGGAAGAAAGAGGGAGGCGAACATTCGACCGTGAGAGTGTTTACTCGACTGAATATCTTTTCGGTAAATATCTCGCTCCCAGCGATATCTGCTACACACACACATACACACGATAAAACTCGGAGCTTTCGAGTCGCGTGTGCAAACGCGTTCGTCTCAGTGCATGAACGTGAGGGCAAGAGCTGTTTACTATACCGTGGGAAGGTGTCTGGCTAACTTGCAGCACTATAAACTGGGACCCAGTTATATTTCAAAATTTGTGCTTTCTTTTATTTCCAAAACACATGCAAAGGCTCTACAGCGTATGCAGGTGCATGCCTGCAAACTGCACGGCTTGAGAGACGCACATCAATCAAAGATCTCGCCGTATCGGCTTCAGGAGGAAGTAAATGCCTCCTGTGCCACCCTCTCCCCGAAAATTATGTCCAATTATCGTCAAGGCAATGGTATATTCTACGATGAAAACTGATCCCCGAAACGGGCGCAGCCAGGTCTTCTAAGCCAGTGGATTTTCAAAAAAACATCACTTAACATCATCTACCATAACGCAATCGGCTTACTTACGAGTCTATGCAAGAAAGTCAAAGAACCAAACTGTTTAGTCTTGTTTTTAGCTAACATACTATTTTAAATTTAGGGATGGAGGGCCATTCATTCTTCTCTCGGTTTTCGACAACT